TGACACTGTGCCACATGACACTGTGTCACATGACACTGTGCCACATGACACTGTGCCACATGACACTGTGCCACATGACACTCTGCCACGTGACACTGTGCCACATGACACTGTGCCACATGACACTCTGCCACGTGACACTGTGCCACATGACACTGTGCCACATGACACTGTGCCACATGACACTGTGCCACATGACACTGTGCCACATGACACTGTGCCACATGACACTGTGCCACATGACACTGTGCCACACGACACTGTGCACTGTGCCACCACATGACACTGTGCCACACTCTGTGCCATGACACTGTGTGACACTGTGCCACATGACACTGTGCCACATGACACTGTGCCACATGACACTGTGCCACATGACACTGTGCCACATGACACTGTGCCACATGACACTGTGCCACATGACACTGTGCCACATGACACTGTGCCACACGACACTGTGCCACATGACACTGTGCCACACGACACTGTGCCACACGACACTGTGCCACATGACACTGTGCCACATGACACTGTGCCACATGACACTGTGCCACATGACACTGTGCCACATGACACTGTGCCACATGACACTGTGCCACATGACACTGTGCCACATGACCACTGTGCCACATGACACTGTGCACACACTGCCACATGACACTGTGCCACATGACACTGTGCCACATGACACTGTGCCACATGACACTGTGCCACATGACACTGTGCCACATGACACTGTGCCACATGACACTGTGCCACATGACACTGTGCCACATGACACTGTGCCACATGACACTGTGCCACATGACACTGTGCCACATGACACTGTGCCACATGACACTGTGCCACATGACACACTGTGCCACATGACACTGTGCCACATGACACTGTGCCACATGACACTGTGCCACATGACACTGTGCCACCACATGACACTGTGCCACATGACACTGTGCCACATGACACTGTGCCACCACATGACACTGTGCCACATGACACTGTGCCACATGACACTGTGCCACATGACACTGTGCCACATGACACTGTGCCACATGACACTGTGCCACATGACACTGTGCCACATGACACTGTGCCACATGACACTGTGCCACACACTGTGACACTGTGCCACATGACACTGTGCCACATGACACTGTGCCACATGACACTGTGCCACATGACACTGTGCCACATGACACTGTGCCACATGACACTGTGCCACATGACACTGTGCCACACATGACACTGTGCCACATGACACTGTGCCACATGACACTGTGCCACATGACACTGTGCCACATGACACTGTGCCACATGACACTGTGCCACATGACACTGTGCCACATGACACTGTGCCACATGACACTGTGCCACATGACACTGTGCCACATGACACTGTGCCACATGACACTGTGACACTGTGCCACATGACACTGTGCCACATGACACTGTGCCACATGACACTGTGCCACATGACACTGTGCCACATGACACTGTGCCACATGACACTGTGCCACATGACACTGTGCCACATGACACTGTGCCACATGACACTGTGCCACATGACACTGTGCCACATGACACTGTGCCACATGACACTGTGCCACATGACACTGTGCCACATGACACTGTGCCACATGACACTGTGCCACATGACACTGTGCCACATGACACTGTGCCACATGACACTGTGCCACATGACACTGTGCCACATGACACTGTGCCACATGACACTGTGCCACATGACACTGTGCCACATGACACTGTGACACTGTGCCACATGACACTGTGCCACATGACACTGTGCCACATGACACTGTGCCACATGACACTGTGCCACATGACACTGTGCCACATGACACTGTGCCACATGACACTGTGCCACACTGTGCCACATGACACTGTGCCACATGACACTGTGCCACACGACACTGTGCCACATGACACTGTGCCACACGACACTGTGCCACATGACACTGTGCCACATGACACTGTGCCACATGACACTGTGCCACATGACACTGTGCCACATGACACTGTGCCACACGACACTGTACCACATGACACTGTGCCACATGACACTGTGCCACATGACACTCTGCCACATGACACTGTGCCACATGACACTGTGCCACATGACACTGTGCCACATGACACTGTGCCACATGACACTGTACCACATGACACTGTGCCACATGACACTGTGCCACATGACACTGTACCACATGACACTGTGCCACATGACACTGTGCCACATGACACTGTACCACATGACACTGTGCCACATGACACTGTGCCACATGACACTGTGCCACACGACACTGTGCCACATGACACTGTGCCACATGACACTGTGCCACAACCATATACTGTATACATAGTAATAAATCGATAACTTTTATAGTCATGAATGGTAATTAATGTTACTTTATTTTTTCAGATTTCCAGAAGCTGGAGAGAGAGGCCAGAATTTGCAGAAAGTTACAGCACCCAAATATAGGTAAGTGGAGGACAGGTGTGGAGGAGGACAGGTGTGGTGGAGGACAGGTGTGGAGGAGGACAGGTGTGGTGGAGGACAGGTGTGGTGGAGGACAGGTGTGGTGGAGGACAGGTGTGGTGGAGGACAGGTGTGGTGGAGGACAGGTGTGGTGGAGGACAGGTGTGGTGGAGGACAGGTGTGGAGGACAGGTGTGGTGGAGGACAGGTGTGGTGGAGGACAGGTGTGGTGGAGGACAGGTGTGGTGGAGGACAGGTGTGGTGGAGGACAGGTGTGGTGGAGGACAGGTGTGGTGGAGGACAGGTGTGGTGGAGGACAGGTGTGGTGGAGGACAGGTGTGGTGGAGGACAGGTTTGGTGGAGGACAGGTGGTGGTGGACAGGTGTGGTGAAGTGACACAGGACAGGTGGTGGAGGACAGGTGTGGAGAAGGACAGGTGTGGTGGAGGACAGGTGTGGAGGACAGGGTGGAGGGCAGGTGTGGTGGAGGACAGGACAGGTGTGGTGGAGGACAGGTGTGGTGGAGGGCAGGTGTGGTGTGTAGTGGAGGACAGGTGTGGTGGAGGGCAGGTGTGATGGAGGACAGGTGTGGTGGAGGGCAGGTGTGGAGGAGGACAGGTGTGGTGGAGGGCAGGTGTGGTGGAGGAGAGGTGTGGTGGAGGACAGGTGTGGTGGAGGACAGGTGTGGTGGAGGACAGGTGTGGAGGAGGACAGGTGTGGTGGAGGGCAGGTGTGATGGAGGACAGGTGTGGTGGAGGACAGGTGTGGTGGAGGACAGGTGTGGTGGAGGGCAGGTGTGGTGGACAGGTGTAGTGGAGGACAGGTGTGGTGGAGGACAGGTGTGGAGGGCAGGTGTGGTGGACAGGTGTGGAGAACAGGTGTAGTGGAGGAGAGGTGTGGTGGAGGACAGGTGTGGTGGAGGACAGGTGGTGGAGGACAGGTGTGGTGGAGGACAGGTGTGGTGGAGGACAGGTGTGGTGGAGGACAGGTGTGATGGAGGACAGGTGTGGTGGAGAGCAGGTGTGGTGGAGGACAGGGGTAGTGGAGGACAGGTGTGGTGGAGGGCAGGTGTGATGGAGGACAGGTGTGGAGGAGGACAGGTGTGGTGGAGGGCAGGTGTGGTGGAGGGCAGGTGTGGTGGAGGACAGGTGTGGTGGAGGACAGGTGTAGTGGAGGACAGTTTTGGTGGAGGGCATGTGTGATGGAGGACAGGTGTGGTGGAGGGCAGGTGTGGTGGAGGGCAGGTGTGGTGGAGGACAGGTGTAGTGGAGGACAGGTGTGGTGGAGGGCAGGTGTGATGGAGGACAGGTGTGGAGGAGGACAGGTGTGGTGGAGGGCAGGTGTGGTGGAGGGCAGGTGTGGTGGAGGACAGGTGTGGTGGAGGACAGGTGTAGTGGAGGACAGGTGTGGTGGAGGGCATGTGTGATGGAGGACAGGTGAGGTGGAGGACAGGTGTAGTGGAGGACAGGTGTGGTGGAGGACAGGTGTGGTGGAGGACAGGTGTGGTGGACAGGTGTGGTGGTGGACAGGTGTTGGAGGACAGGTGTGGTGGAGGACAGGTGTGGTGGAGGACAGGTGTAGTGGAGGACAGGTGTGGTGGAGGACAGGTGTGGTGGCACTACTCTTCCTCAACTGGTACCTGGATTGTACCTTGATGAGGTTCTGGGAGTTCTTCTACTCCCCGTGTAAGACTTGTGAGAGCTTGGTCCACCAGGCTGTTGCTTGCAGCGGCCCCTCACCTTGTACGCGCATATCACATATATAATAACTGCCTCATACACATTTGTAGTATAGCATATGCAACCACAACTGTTAATACCTATTGCACGTACACCTGTTTTGTCCACACCTGTCGCCCACATGTGTTACTTGCACGAGTCTTCACACCAGTCAAACATCACACCTCTCACCCCACACCTGACAATACTGTCAGTAAAACACCTGCTGTGCCCATGTCTAGACCCACACACCTGTTGGTACCACCTGCATCTGTACACCTGCAATTACCAGTAGTTTCATTATAGTTACATCAGCCATCACTGTCATGTATAGTGTTCCTGTAGCTCTTAGACTCTCAGTGTCAGCCCCAGTGGCGGCAAGGTTAGGCTTAGACGGGGTCTGTTGCCGTGGTTATGTGGGGGTTAATGTGTCTTACTGTGTCACACACACCTGGCTACAGTGTGTGTGTGTGGAGGAGCCCCCCCCCCACCTGCAGGTGTGTGGAGGAGCCCCCACGTGTAGGTGTGTGACGTGCACCACATGTATGTGTGGCGGTGAAGGGAAGGTTCCCCTTGTCCACCTGTCCACCCACTGCTCACAGATTATAAAATTATTTTAAGATATAGAGGAGAGGGAGAGTAGATAGACTAAGTGCAAAATGTGGGGGGGGGGTGCTACAACCCCCCCCCCCCACCAAATGGGACAGGTATTATAGGGAGACAGGTGGAGGTGTTGGGTAGACAGGTGGACAAGATCCTGCTGGAAGCGGCGGAGGTAATGGGTAAGACGGGACCTGCAGGCCGCTCCCACCAACAGTCTTTTAGATCACGTCATCTGACGAAAGCCTGGGCTCCAGGCCGGGCTTGGCAGATACAACTGTGGTAACTTGTTACACACAACCGCCGCCTGCCAGCCATCACAGGACAGCACACCTGTCAAGGGATGGGGGGGGCGAGGATGGCAAGGCGGTGGAGGGTACAGGCACGCCTCGCCGGGGCTCGAACCCCTGATGGTGGTGATTGGGCAGGTGTTGTGGGGCAGGACAGGCAGAGAGGGGAAGAGGAAATATGGTAGTAATTTAGTGTTGAGAGAATAATGGAAGGTGTGTGATCAATGGGAGAGGGGAAGATGGTGAGAGGAGAGTGAAGAGCGAGGGGAGGGGGAAGTAATGAGAGCGTCGCTGGCCAAGAGTTAAGCACCAGGTGAAGGAGGCTAGCGAGCGCTCAAGCGTGTGTGTATACACTTACCTGTTGTTGTTGTGGTAGTGGTGTGGTGGTGTTGTGGTGGTGTTATGGTGTTCTTGTGGTGGTGTTGTGGTGGTGGTGTTGTGGTGGAGTTGTGGGTGAGTGTGTAGGGTGTGTAGGGCTGCCACAAGGCTCCCGCCTGCCACCCACGCCACCGTGACCTACCACACACACACACACACACACACACACAACAAAGGCGGTTGGTCCAGATGGGATCTCACCATGGGTACTGAAAGAGTGTGCAGAGGCACTTTGCTTGCCACTCTCCATAGTGTATAGTAAATCACTAGAGACGGGAGACCTACCAGAAATATGGAAGACGGCGAATGTGGTCCCAATATACAAAAAGGGCGACAGACAAGAGGCACTGAACTACAGGCCAGTGTCCTTGACTTGTATACCATGCAAGGTGATGGAGAAGATCGTGAGAAAAAACCTGGTAACACATCTGGAGAGAAGGGACTTCGTGACAAATCGCCAACATGGATTCAGGGAGGGTAAATCTTGCCTTACAGGCTTGATAGAATTCTACGATCAGGTGACACAGATTAAGCAAGAAAGAGAGGGCTGGGCGGACTGCATTTTCTTGGATTGTCGGAAAGCCTTTGACACAGTACCGCATAAGAGGCTGGTACATAAGCTGGAGAGACAGGCAGGTGTAGCTGGTAAGGTGCTCCAGTGGATAAGGGAGTATCTAAGCAATAGGAAGCAGAGTTACGGTGAGGGGTGAGACCTCCGATTGGCGTGAAGTCACCAGTGGAGTCCCACAGGGCTCTGTACTCGGTCCTATCTTGTTTCTGATATATGTAAATGATCTCCCGGAGGGTATCGATTCATTTCTCTCAATGTTTGCGGACGATGCTAAAATTATGAGAAGGATTAAAACAGAAGAGGACTGTTTGAGGCTTCAAGAAGACCTAGACAAGCTGAAGGAATGGTCGAACAAATGGTTGTTAGAGTTTAACCCAACCAAATGTAATGTAATGAAGATAGGTGTAGGGAGCAGGAGGCCAGATACAAGGTATCATCTGGGAGAGGAAATTCTTCAGGAGTCAGAGAAGGAAAAAGACTTGGGGGTTGATATCACGCCAGACCTGTCTCCTGCAGCACATATCAAGCGGATAACATCAGCGGCATATGCCAGGCTGGCCAACATACGAACGGCATTCAGAAACTTGTGTAAAGAATCATTCAGAACTTTGTATACCACATATGTCAGGCCAATCCTGGAGTATGCAGCCCCAGCATGGAGTCCATATCTAGTCAAGGATAAGACTAAACTGGAAAAGGTTCAAAGGTTTGCCACCAGACTAGTACCCGAGCTGAGAGGTATGAGCTACGAGGAGAGACTACGGGAATTAAACCTCACTTCGCTGGAAGACAGAAGAGTTAGGGGGGACATGATCACCACATTCAAGATTCTGAAGGGGATTGATAGGGTAGATAAAGACAGTCTATTTAACACAAGGGGGACACGCACAAGGGGACACAGGTGGAAACTGAGTGCCCAAATGAGCCACAGAGATATTAGAAAGAACTTTTTTAGTGTCAGAGTGGTTGACAAATGGAATGCATTAGGGGGTGATGTGGTGGAGGCTGACTCCATACACAGTTTCAAGTGTAGATATGACAGAGCCCGATAGGCTCAGGAATCTGTACACCTGTTGATTGACGGTTGAGAGGCGGGACCAAAGAGCCAGAGCTCAACCCCCGCAAACACAACTAGGTGAGTACAACTAGGTGAGTACACACACACACACACACACACACACACACACACACACACACACACACACACACACACACACACACACACACACACACACACACACACACACACACACACACACATGTTTGATGTTTGTGAACAAACATCAACATGGGTTCTGGACAGGGAAATCGTGCCTAACAAACCTTCTGGAATTCTATGATAAAATAACGAGGATAAGACAGGACAGAGATGGTTGGGCAGACTGCATATTTCTGGACTGCCAAAAAGCCTTTGATACAGTACCGCACATGAGACTGCTGTTCAAGCT